AACAATGTTTATCTTTCTTTTCAAATCAATATTTTATTTCGGGCAATCATTTATGAGTTGACCTAACTTTTTACAGGAATAACGCCTCATTTCTTTAATGATTGGACCTGCAAAAACTTTTAGTAAGCCAATCTCCTTTTATTTGCCTTTGTTTCCCATTTTATCTCACTATTATTGGCTCTCACATGAGATATAAAGTGAATCGACTCTTATTTCATCTTTTTTATTCTTACCTCTTCTTGCACCAACATAACCTTAATTTCGTTATAGTCTCTTTTATCTTTAATGGTGTTATAATTCACCTCAGATGGCCAAACTCGACAGGTAAGGAGTTCATGATGAATAAAACCATAAATGAGTCTATCAAATTCATTCTCATGTTTGCAAGTTTAGCTTATATGTTGAACATGTTAGACACAATACCATGACGGAACGGAATTAGTTGATGTTTTATAGTGGTGAGTTCGATCGTGAAACTTTCCACAACAAACTTTTTCGCAATTTTAAATAGAGATAATTCCTTGATTTTTCATTTAGGAATTGTCATGCATTATCAGCCTTAATGTTATCCGCCATGATTAATTTTATAAAATTCAAACATAACCTATTTGATCGCTCACATACCCTACGAAGAGTTACCTCTACTTCGGAACTCTCATCAGTAATGGTTGTGGGCGCTTCATCAGTAATTAGAGTATATCCAAATTCAGTGCACCTAATTGAAAATGGATATGCTCAGACCATTCATTGAAGTTCAGCCCATTGAATTTTTTAATAATAATATAGTTGACGGAAAATCCAAATTTAAACACTGCAAACTTTAATAAATGCTATTTAATTAATCTTTCAAAGAAAATTAATGGATTCAGAAATCCTTTAAATTATATATTAAAATATACCTTTGGGCAATACTTAAATATATAATATATTTGATTGATGCCTAAGAGGAAAGATCTTTAATAGAAATTATATGTTTCGTGTAATTAGCGATTATCTTTAGACAAACACACTAATTAACCTAACTTTAATTATAATTTCTCTTTCATGTATTAATCTTTGATAGAGATTATACATACTTGAGTCAACTAGCGGCTATCACGCTAATTAACATCACTTTAAGTGTAACTTCTCTTTTAAATATTAATCCTTAATAGAAATTATATAATTCTGATCAATTAGAGGTTATCTTTGGACAAACACACTAATTAACCTAACTCTAATTATAATTTCTCTTTTAGTTGTCACAAATTATATACACATGGCCCACCTTTGGGTGTCCTCCTAGTTTATAATCCATGACATCATTTATTTAAATATATAATTTGCAAGACATTAATAAGACATCCTTTTATATTTGAATTGATACTTCGTCTAACTTAATTATCTATTCTATAAATTAAACTATGTCACTTTGGTGACTAACTAGCTTCTTTACATATATAATATAATTAGAAAATTATTTTATTTGATGTGAATATTATGAGATTAAACATTTCAGTAATCCGTTTTCTTTCAAATTCTATGAAAACTTGAGTGCCAACAGTCATAATTATATGATTTATCCTTCAATACATGAGAGCAAAAACCGAATACGGATTACAATTCTCCTTTTAGCCAATATGATCACATCAGCACACTATAATCGACAAATCGAGATGCTTAAGGCTATGAACTCTAATTGAGTATCAGCACTGAATACTTTAATGGACAAAACCGATAATTGGCGAATAATTATGCATAAACACATGCTCTGATACCACATGTAAGAAATTTAATGGGTACATTCATAACTATTAGGCGAAATTAAATAAACACTAAGCATGTAATTCTATTAATTCATAGAACATGAATCTTTGCATAAATTAAATTGCACATAGAACTTACAAGAATTCAGCTTATAGTCCTTCCTGTTTTATTCATCTATGGTGTTGATTTACGATCCTCTTTCATGATCCTCAATGATGGGTTCGTTTTGCCTATAAATTGTTTCTCTCTCTCGCGTCTCTCGTCTTTGTGTAAAGCCCTTGATGTTGAGAACTTTATTTTCGTATGAGATGGGAGAGAGGGTCATGCAGTAATATATATATACAGGAGGAATACCTATAATCCGAATTCTACTAACATTCCTCATGTTCAAACCTAACTTATTGTTCAAGTCAAACATCACAAATTGAACTCTTTAATATTAGAACATTAGATAATCAATTAAATACATATTCACCTTAATTAAGTTTGACTAAATTCAATTAGATCAAAATAATTATATAGTCTACAATAATAGAATAATATAAAAATTACAAAATATCATTCCCCATCATTAAACGGCTCAACCAGACGCAAGACCATGGAGCAATTCTATGAATTGTCGCTAATAGATTTGGATGTGACATGTAGACGTGTTCAAAGACCGGCCGGTTCACGATCCAACTCGGCCCGTGTGGTCGTGGCCTAAAATGTTGGGTCTGAAATCGGCCCAGCTATATCTTCGGAACAATTAATTTGAACCGGCCCAACCAGGCGGTTCAACTTTAAAAATAAAAAAGTAAAATAAATAAAAAAAACAATTACAACTCGTCTTTCTTCCCAGGACCGGTTTGGAACCGTCCCGATTGGTCAAAATGGAATAAAATGGAACAATTGTACCATTAATCCACTAACTTTTGGTGAGTTGCACTTTCGTCCTTTAATAAAAAAAATTATAATTGGTACACTATTTCATTTTTTTTAAGCAACATACATCCAAAACGAGCTTCAGGTGACATTTTTGGCCGGTAAATCTGACGTGGCTTCCACTAGGCCCTACATATTAAACACCGGCGGTGATGTGGCATACATTGTCCATTCATATTATGCCACGTGGATTACTAACAAATTAAAAAAATTTATATATTCTATATCCATGTGTGATGACACGATGGATTTAAGAATAAAAAAAAACAAATTGTAATAAGAATTTAGGGATAAAATCGCTACAAATTGACGAGGAGCCATTCCTCTTGCCATTCTTGCAAATCTAAGAAGAAAACCTCAAAATGTCGTATACCACGAGCGTCGTCGATTGCTACTGTGGGAAGAGAATTGTGCTTCGCACATCCTGGACCGACGACAATCCTGGAAGAAGATTTCATTCTTGTCTTCAATGGAAGGTAAAATTGTTATATTTAATTAGGGTTCTTGAGTCTCAAATTAGGATTTTTGATCGTGGTCCGAAATTATGGTTTTTGAGTCCCAAATTGGGGTTCTTGAGTCCTAAATTCGGGTTCTTGAGTGTCAAATTAGGGTTATTGAGTTCGAAATTAAGGTTCTTCATTCAAATTGTTCTCTTTTTTCTTCTTTTCTTCTTCTCAGAGAGGTGGTTGCCAATTTTTTAGTTAGGAGGATCCTCCAATTTGTCGTCAGTCAAGGGCTATAATTCCAGGACTACTACGTAAGGCGAATGCCATGGAAGCTGAAAATTTAAAATTGAAGCAGAACATTGCAATGATGAAGAGAACTTGCATTTATATGGCATTATCTTTTGTTATTTTCCAGGTCCTTCGCTGCTACTTCAGTTGAAACCAGAACAACTTTCATGTAATGGAATTGTCCACTTTGTATTGTTCTTTAGTTTGTTATGTAGTTTTGTTAAGTATGATGATGACAATGTTTCTTAGGATTCAGAACTTGTGATGATGATGGCAATATTGATGGAACAATGATGATGGCAATGTTTATGGAACAATGTTGTTTCACTGTTTGTATTGATTTATGGGATCTTTGGACTTGTGTTTGTTTTTGTCTTTGTTTTTGTTCTATTGATTTTGAACTATGATTTGTCTCTGTTTTTTGTTTTTCAAAATGTTGCAATATAACATACAAACAAACCAACACTAACTGAGACCTGCAAACCAACACTAACAGACAAACAAACCAAGATTAACTTAAAGGCTGCCAAAACTGAGGCATCAACTGAACAAAAACATCCAACAAGAGTACACAATTAACTTTAATCAAGTGGCTGTACCAAAACATAGCAAACAGAAATTTCCATACCATTCACAAGAGTACACAATCTCTGATAATTATCAAATCAATATTTCCCAAAACATAGCTTCCAAAACAGAATTTCTAAGAGTTCATGAGGCCATCAGAAATTACAAAATAAGACAATGTACCATAAGTATTACACAAAATAGAGGCACAATACACAAACAATTCACAAATTGTTCAAACTTCTTAAATTTCTGACAAATTCTTAAACTTCCTCTGGAGAGAGTCATCAACTGGTGGTCCTCTTGTTCTTCCCCTTTGAAGTTGATCCCACATTAAGGGTCCTTCAATGTTTGTTGTTGTTGCTGATTTGGACTGAGACATTTGGGTTAGAATGGGGACATCAATCTCTTCAGATTCTTGATGTTCTTCAAAAACTGGGGGCAGCAATGGAGGATGATGTTTCTGTTTCTTTGTGATGTGCAGAGAGCCTCCACCATCATCCTGCATGAGGTTGAAAATATTAGGACAAAATTAATGAAAAATCAAGTGCAATTTGAAATCACAAAGCTTAGAATAGTACCCTAGACTTCATTGCAATTACTGAGCTATCATCCTGAGGTGGTTGAACATGATGTGATACCATCACAGCTTCTTCATTGGAGGTCCTCTTATGACATGTTTTTATATTATGTCCCAAAACACCACAATTCTTGCACTTCACTGTTTTTTGTTGCCTTTTGAGTCTGTGCACACCATATTTCCTTGTATCTTGTTTTTTTCTTTTTACAAGGCCTCTCATCAGATTCAAGTCTTCTTGACTTACCAGGTCTTCCCACACCTCTACCAAAATTTGGAGGCAATGGTGGAATATATAAGCTCTTGTCCCACAGCACCTCACCATTAATTCCCATTATAGCTGGTTCATACACTGTGATATGTAGCAACAGAATAGCAGGTAGCTACATGATCAAATGGGTCCATTTTGGACATATACATTGCACTACAAGCATGAGGGCAAGGTATTCCAGTCAAACCCCATCTCCTCCAAGTGCAAGTCCCCAAATCAAGATTCACATTATATTGCCCCCCATTGAAACAAGACACCTCCCAGTTTGGATGATCACACTTCAAAGGAATGCAGTCACCCACTTGTTCAACATTATGAGAAAGGATCTCTCTAATTTTTGGACACAACCCATCCTTCCAAAGTTTGGCAGCCTTATCCCTATTTTTCTGAAGTCTGCTGATAAGATATTGCCTAGTCCACTCCAACATTGTCAACACTGGTTTATCCCTAGCCTCCAATATATTTCCATTAAATGTCTCACAGACATTATTCAATACCATGTCACATTTTGGGGCCTTCAGTGAAATGTGACTTGGTCCACTATGATGGTGGTTTGTCACTGAACCATTCTGCTGCCTCTGGATTCAACTCCCTCATCTCATCGAGATATTGGTTGAATTCACCAACTGTAGTTGCCAATGCACATTTCCAAAGACCCTTCTTATAATCCAAACCTCTAAAGCCAGCATTCTGAAAGTTATTGTGGAGATGCCTCACACAAAATCTATGGTGGCAATCAGGAAGAACTGAATTGAAGGCTTGGATTAAACCTTTCTGCTTGTCTGAAATAAAGGTCCAGTCTTGTTGGTTTATTATGTCAAGGTCATTCTTTAATAGAATCAAAAACCACTCCTAAGTTTCCCCATTTTCTGAAGATACAATGGCATATGCAAGAGGATAGTGATTATTGTTTGGATCAACCCCAACAGCTGTGAGTAAAATTCCTTCGTGAGGCCCCTTTAGAAAACAACCATCAACTCCTATAATTTGCCTGCAACCTGCTTTAAAGCCTTTCTTAAGTGCACTGAAGAAAACATAGAACCTATTAAACCTCTTCTCACTTTTTTCATTCTCATCAGTCCCTAAGATAACAGTAGAACCAGGATTTGATCTAAGAAGTTCTCTTCTGTAATCCCAAAGTTTAGTGAACTGGTAGGCAGGGCACCCTTCCACAATCTTCAGAGCCTTTCTTCTGGCCCTATAAGCTTGAAACTTAGAAACATGGCAGCCAAGCTTATGAATTACCTCCCTCCTCCATGGCTTCACTTTTCTGTTTGGATCAGTCTTCAAATCATCAAGGTACCTAACTGACAGCCAGGGGGCTTTCACATTTTTCACAACAAATGTAGGAGGACAAGTGTGATCATCAACAAATTTGTGGATCCTGTATGAGGTTGAGTCCTTGACCTGAATCAGATTAATCATCCAAGGGCAATCTTCATCACCACATTTCACATAAACTCTGTAGTTGTCATTCTTAGTGAACTTCAAACTTCTTCTCTGTTTAATAGCATAAGAATCAGCTGCCTTTTTGAACTCAGCTCTGCTACTAAACAACATCCCAAGTTTGAAGGTGGGATCATAAATTTGAGCTATATTGAATACAGGTGCTGGAAGAGGTGGTTCACCATTGCCTTCATCATCAGACAACTTGTTCTCATCAAAGTCATCTTTATTATTCACAACATCATCTTCACTACTCTCGGCCCCATCACTATTAACATGGCCATCTTTCTCATTTATTTCATCATCAGCTTCTCTTGATGATCCAACACCAAAATCCTCAACTGATTTTTCAACAAAACTTCTTTCAACAGATGCCTCAACTGAAGTTACATCATCAACATGGTGATCAAATAGTTCATCATCATTTTCAGAGTCACTCCCCAAACAATACTCACTATCAACAGACTCTTCAACTTCATTGACAATGTTTTCTACATAAAGATGCAATTCTCTACAAGACAATGCAGCTGTAAAACCCACCAAACGATCACTATCATCGCAGACAAGACTCAGACGACCATAAAAATCAATCTGAAATTTTTTCTTACCAGGACCTATAATCTCATCTGCCAATGTAGTAAAGCGACTTAAGTTCATGTGTACCTTCTCCACATAGTCGAGAACAGTTCTTGAACCCCCAATGTAACTTAAAGTGGGATAGTTCTGGAAGACACCTCCATGATGCACCACGACAGTAAGAAATTAGAATCCGGGTCTGTGGGCCAAGAAACAGTAAATTATTAAATATATAAACAAATATATCAGGACAAGGACCATATTTTCTTAAAAAAATTAAACAAATACATGTTTCAGGGACCACATTTTGTTGAAAAGATAATCAAACACACCATTTCAGGGACCACGTTTATTGAAGTTAACAAGTAAAAAAAAAAATTAAAGAAATTAAAAACTCACGATATAATGGAGGTGGCAAACTCGAGTGCTTCTTGTCTCTTTTCATCACCATTTTATATTTCTGATAACGTCCTTCGATTTTTTGTGAAAGGAAACTCGATTCAGTAGTGATTTTGGCATGTAAGAATTAGGGCGATTGTGAAGTTGGCGATTGTCGAATGTAGGGTTTGTCTGAAAGTTTGGCGATTTTCCCGCGATTTTATTCCTAAATTCTTATTACAATTTTTTTTTTATTCTTAAATCCATCGTGTCATCACACATGGATATAGAATTTTTCTTTTTTTTAATTTGTTAGTAATCCACGAAACATAATATGAATGGACAACGTATGCCACATCACCGCCGGTGTTTAATATGTAGGGCCTAATGGAAGCCACGTCAGATTTACCGGCTAAAAATGCCACCGGAAGCTCGTTTTGGATGTATGTTGCTAAAAAAAAAAAAAAGAAATAGTGTACCAATTATAATTTTTTTTTATAAAAGGACGAAAGTGCAACTCATCAAAAGTTAGTGGACTAATGGTGCAATTTTTCCGGAATAAAACACCTCTTGAACCTATCCTTAAGGGATTCTAGGTCGGTTCAAAAACCAGCTTTATCAGGCCGGTTCACGGGCGGTTCGACCTTGGCGATGTCTAGTGACGTGATTGCGGGTAGTTGGAAACCAAAGTTAGTACTCTTTGACTTTTACTCATTTCATGACTTCAGGTAATGGAAACACAGTCAAATGGTACAATCCGGAAACATCTGACGCGTGTCTTTTGTATTAATAAAATACAAAATTCTTAAATATATGCAGACGTGGCATTTTGCTATCATAACAGGTGGTGTGCTCTTATTTATTTCAACTTTTCGTTTTTCTCCTTCAAACACGTAGCTCCAAAAACTTGTGGTTGTGTTTGAATGTGGCGTGGATATAAATGTATTTAAATAATATTTAAAATATAACATGTAAACTTAATATTTGAATATGATAGGTAGCTAAAAATAGAGAAAATAACCATTGTTGTAAATATATACTAAGTTTTTCACACTGTCAATTAATGAGTTAGTTTTTTTCACCCTACTAAATGTGAAACAAATTATGCGATGCATATTGGGACATAGATAAGATAATTGAAAAGGTGCAATATTTATGCGATAAACTACGCGATAAATAGATGAAGTATTGATAAATTGCAAAATAATTATGAGATATATATGCAATGGAAAAATGAAATTAACCGAGCAAATGCGAGTTACTTATATGATACATAGCGATGGGCAAACGAAGTTAGTTGATGAAGTGTGAAATATTTATGCGATAAGTTATGCGACATACATGCTAAAATAATTGATAAATTTTGTTAATACCTATGTATTGTTTACCATGCAAACAATAATTACAATTATTTGTTATTAGTAAATACTTATTATAGTCCTAATTAATTATTGTGAATATGCATTATAATTTTTCATTAAATTTTTTTTTCCTTTGTGAGTGACATAATTATTTGTTATAAATAATAGTTGATATTACATGCATTTATATATTATAATTCCCATTTCATTATCTCATTTACTATTTGTCTCTTGTAAGTATGAGTCATTTTTTTCTTATTTATTATATTTTTTATTAAAAAATAAATGAAACAATCTCCTTAGTTAATTATTAAACTAAATTTCAAAGAAAAGTATTTTATTTTCAACCATTTTTTTCTTTTTTTTTCCTGGCACCATCTCCGTCTAAAAGAAAAGATTCCGACCTCTACAACGAAGCTCCCATTTGCCAAGGACTTTTCTAGGGGA